GGACTGCCTGGAACACCTCCCGAGGGAGGTGACCAGAAGTCATCCGGAACAGATGTCCAAGCAACCTCAGCTGGCTATTTTCGATGTGGAGGAGCAGTGACTCTACTCCCGAGTTCTTCCTGGGTAACTGAGCTCCTCACCTGATCTCGAAGGGTGCCCCCAGCCACCCTGCGAAGGAAACTCATTTCGGCCGCTTGTATTGGCGATCTTGTCCTTACGGTCACTACCCAGATCTAATGACCGTAGGTGAGTGTCGGAACGTAGATCGATTGGTAAATCGAGAACTTTTCCCCGACTCAGTTCCCTCTTCACCACGACAGTCCAATAAAGAAGGTCCTGGTTTAATGAGGCCAACAGGACAACATTATCTGCAAACATCAGAGATGATATCCTGCATTTAGAAATTCTGTCCATTAGTGTATTGAACAGAACCGGTGACAAAGGGCAGCCCTGGCAGAGACCAACATGCACCGGGAACAGGTCTGACTTACTGCCCGCATTGAGAACCAAGCTCCTGCTGTGGTCATACAGAGAACGGACAGGCATTAACAGGGGCCCCTGGACCCTATACTACCAGAGCATTTATGGGGAGTTGGTGTTATGGGAACAGAATACAAATTAATTTTATTTTAATGAGTTTTCTTTTCACAAAAAAGAAGCAACAGAGGCAAAAAGTCTTAATATATTTCCACTTCAGTTATGCAGATGTTTTCTGTGGGTGTGTCACATAAACTCCCAGTACCATATTGAGATGAATAACAAAATGTGGAAAAAATAGGTTAGGCAAGATTTATGCAAGGTTCCCAACATGTGAAGTTTATCATCAGCTTTCTTTTGCTCTCAAATTCTTCACTGTGGCAGCTGCCTTTGGGTGGGGCCAGTGTCTTTAGCGTTGCTGTAAAGGTCACTGAGTCCACCTGTTGAGTAAATGTCACTGCAGGATTAGCACAGATTAAAAAGGCCTGTTTTCATGCAGTGAAAGTGTGCAAAATAAAACTGAGCAGCTCAGCGTGTTTTCCCTCATCAACACATTGGGGCAGTGTGAAAGGCTACAGGAAATGGCCACAGACCACAGGAAATGATGTTTAAAATGTGAACAACTGCTATGATGTCTTACCTCTTGTTGCTATCGAGCTGCTGCCTAGCTCAAACAAAGCCTCCTCTATAAACAGGATGAAAAAAAAAACTTCACATGTACCTTTTCACACCTCCTTTTCTCCTCTTTCCTCCTCCTATCATCGCCTTCAGTTCCCTACGTTCTCCTCAGTCACCTGAGCAACGAATCAGGTACTAGACTCTTGAGCAGGAGGCTTTGAACCAGAACAGCCTCTTACCCTTCTCAACAGACTGAATGTTGGGTGTGTGCAGAAAGCTCCCCAGAGAGCCATTAGATGCCTCAATAGGCATTTTTAGAGCAGCTTTTGCATACATCCATCCCCTCGTTGGAGCTCAATTCTTTGAGTTAGCATGTCCTATTCTAGTGTCCAACTGCTGCATGACCTGCTGCTGCAAATGCCCTGCTCTGTTTTTATTGCTTGTGATGTTTTTTTATCTTTCAGTGGACGCATTCAGCAATTCTCAGTCACGCCTTTATTTTTATTTTAGTCCTGTTAGTCTTTTATTTTTATCTGAGAATTGCTTGCATGGTAAGCACCTTTTTTTGTTGTTAATTTTCTTGTTTCTTTTCTGTTGTGTCTGTTTTCCTGTGTCGCTCTGGTCTGTGTTTTCAGCGTGAGTGGAATATTAACATGGCCTCTCTGTTTCAGTGCCTACAGCGGGAATGACTCGTCTGGCTCGCTCGCGCACCACCTCCTCCTCCAACATCACCTCCATGGAGAGCAGCCGCAGCCGCAACAACATCAGCAGCCTGCTGGAGGGAAACGCCGGCGCCGGCAGCCTGGACAACCAGGTGGCACCTCAGACCATGGAGGTGTCCTGTTAAACCCCGCCTCCTTTCACACTCTCATAGTAATTTATATATCCCCTCTCTCTCTTTTCTCACTCGTCCTGCTCCAAAGCAATTTGACGCCGGGGGAGTGTGTGTGATTAGAAAGGAGGATCTAATAAGTATATTAACAGATGCATATTAGAGGATATGTTATAAACACACACACACATATATATATATATACTGTCAAAGTCCTGTTACTAACATAAACCAGGAGTACATTCAGATGTTGTATATTTAAATGTTTTAAACCATTGGATTGAGTCCCCTGTCAAACCTTGTATTTATTTTGTCTTGTTTTAATCCTCTTCATACACTGTAGAAATCCTATGTTCAACTGAGCTTATTTTTTTTTTTTATTTCTAGCGTGTGTTTTCCAACCATTCTGACTCACTCTGTTTCTATTTTTAAATCTACCACAATGCAAAGAATAAGTCGGAGAACAAAGGTGTTCAGAAACGGTACTGGTACCTGTTGTTGTACAGTGGGTCTCTGAAGTGTGCGTAGACCTGTAAAAATACCAGGTAGTAGTGATGTACAACAATGATAGATTATTTTAGATGCATTTCTGTATATGCTGTGAGGTTTATCCTGTTTGATCTGACTTTAAAAACAGCCCAGAGGTGTGCAGACCCTTAAAGCATGATTTGGTTGAAGCGCCTTTTGATTACTTTTTAAACATCTTATTGTACAAAAGTAGCAGTCAGTGGAAGGGTACAAAAATGTTCCAATGCATTATTTATATTTCATATTGAAGACAGTCACCTATAGTTGGAGTAAATGTGAGGTTACCTTAAGTGTGAAGTACCTTTTTAATCAGAGCTGCTGCTGTCCTGCATGAACCAAGCTTAACAGTCTTCCTCATATGTCTGAACTTTAGGAGCAGGATGTGACAAACAGGCCTGGCCTGACTGCAACCTTCCCAAACCTCATAGCAGGCAGATGAAATTAGAGAACCTTCCCAAATAAGCTAGTTTTGACTGAAAGCCTTCAGGAGGGTGGGGGCAGAGATAAGGGAAACTGATGGACCCACAACAAAGAAGACTGAATGCTGACTTTGAAATAGAAGCGATTTAAACAGTTGTTGAGCTGTGCACACCCCATCTACCAGGTTATTGCAGCTTATTAACTTTCCGGACTGATGATTTTTTTTTTTCTGGAGGGGGATAAAGGATAAATTCTACAATAAATTCTTTAAAAAAAAATTAAGAATAATTCAGTTGTCTCCTATTGTTTTATGGCATAAAACTCTGTTATAACAGGCATCCTTTAGAGAGCCACTGCAGCAGAGGTGTCAAATCTTGATGGTAGATAAAGTGAGGCAGATATTTGCTGCTTGCAGCACAGGTGAGATCTTCCTAGAAAGCTGCTTTAAATGTCACCTGTTCAGCTTCCCTGTGTAATCAAACTCACCATCTCCATCTTTTTGTTTTTTTACTTTCTGCTCTGTGTTAATGTTTAGCTGAATGGATTATTTCAGCAATGCTTTACCGACCTTTAACAAAAGGGTTCAGATGTGAAAGTGTAACAGTCCTGTCACTTAGGGGCCAAAAAAACGGCTTCTCTCCGTCTGCTGATTCAGCTCATTTCTACTACTGAATAAAGCTACAAGAGACAAGCACACGCCTGGTGTCCTTTATTTGCCAGTTAGTGGCCTGCGATGTTCTCACGATAAAAGTGGTATGCAGGCGTCTAGAGACATGTCTGAATGTAACAACAAACAGAACGCATACCTCTGCAGTAAGTTCTAGTACTTTTCCTGCTCTCTTAGTGGAAAAGCGAGGTGATAGTGGTGAGATTGTTTCCAACCACACACGCTCTTGTTTCCTTTCTGAGTGATAACTGCTGCTGTCGGAGATGAGGCCATCTATATTTAGCACCCACAAAAAAAACAATGATCAGCTGCTTTGAGAGAGACCGACTTCAGCAGATCGACAGAGTGGAACAAAAAAAACGTATCTATGAAGGAAGGTTCTAGTAAAACAATGGAGATTTAGCTGCGTTGGGTTCAAAACTGTTTTTTGTGCACTTGAGTTAATGAAGCCTTATATTGCAGAGTGGGGTTGTCTTAATTACTGATCTCTTTGCACTCGACGATTAAATCTTGTACGGTGAAGTTTTAGTACACCACACCAATGTAAGAAAGGCTGCGCTGGTCTGGAAGTGGTTCCTTTCCATCTGCTAAGCTAACAGAATATTCTGGTGATTCAGTACCAATCTGATCTGTTCTTTTATTCTTTCCATTCACTGTTATCCTTTTGCATCTCAGAAAGCCTAGCTGATAAAGAACATGCAGAACTTCCAGCCTTTTATCTCTGCACTAATACTGCTGAAGGAGTCTTTCCAGCCGCAGCGACATATATGCAATCAATCTTTTTCCCCCAGTTATTTTGCATATTCTTTTGTTATTAGATAATAGAAACGCCTACTTGAAAAATGGGGTTTAGGGGTGTGTTTTTAATTTATTAACTTTTCCGTTTTGCCTTTATCTTGCACTGTAGCAGTTAGGTCAGAAAGCTGAATTCACACACAGGTTCTGTGCTCTTTCCACCAGTTGTCCGTGTGACTGGCATGAGGATATGGAGTCGGCTCCCATGAAGACTCTGTTGTCTTTAGGCCACCATGTCATGAACTTTGAGTTATGCACAGGAGTACTGTTAGAGGGGACGCTCAACACCATCTCTGCCCACTTTCTCTCTGTATATGCTGAATAAATTCTAGCACCTTGAGCTGTATATTTATTTTAAAAATTACTAAGATGTACCCAAACTTAATTTCCCTGCTGATGCCTTGAAATGCATCATTGTTTGCACCAGTCTCTCATGCAATGGTTTCAAATTTAGGACGGTGCCCTTAATGCCAGCATCTAGGATTTAGAGATATCAATGAAGGTTTTTGATATGTTATTTACACATGGAGTATCAGGTTCTCTAAGGTCTGCTTTTCCATAAACTAGTGATTAAAGTGAACTGCAAACATCAGGAGATGTCACTACTTTGTTAATTCGACCCCACTTACAGGAAGTACTAAATCTTGCTTTAATCGTTCCTGGAAAATATAATTATAGATGCCCTCTTTCTTGAACCATCAGTGAAATCCCTACCAAATGTCCCATTTAATTGGACAAAGTTTTAAAATTGTTTTATTACATTTTTTTTGTTTAAATAACTAAAATGTTCTCTTTTACAACAACTAAATGTAGAGGTGTACTTCTCTCCTCCTAAAATCCTATTCCATGTGAACATGGTGACATGAATTATGAAAACATGATTACCCTGATCATTTTCATAGGCTTTCATTTAAAAAGGAGAATTAGCTAATTATTGTCAGAACAGCTAAATATTTCTGAAGTAAGAGGGTTTTTTTAATGTACATATTCATCTCAGTGTCCTTGTGTAGCATTAATCCAGATTCTAAAGGCTTTTTTAAAGTCTGGCCAAGTCCAAAAACTATTTTTTTTTAACTTAAAATCACTTTGATCTAAAACATCTTCACAATTTAATACAGATTCTTGGTTACAAAGGTTTAGACCGGCTTTGTGTTTGTTTTAGTAAATTTACAAAAACATTGAGGACTATTTTATGGAAAAAAGCAGGTTGAAGCGCGTTGAATACGCGAGACCTTCAGCATCAGAGAAACTAATATGAAAACAAATCATTGTGAGACACCACAAAATCAGACTGTTTAGGAGAAAATTATTTACTCTTTTTCACACTTTTTTTAATTGACAGGACGATAAAATAGGTAATAGTACGCCTCCTCTAGTTTCCTTTTCTCCTGTAGTTCAATCCTCTCTGTAAATAACCACCTAATCAAACCATTGATAAAATAATATTGAGTTGGGGTCGGACAGAGGAAAGCTGATTGACAGGCGGTTAGTTTCCAGGACCAACTTGGGCTTAAACTAAATTAGAACGACATTTAAACCACATTTAAGAGCATTATAACATTTTAAAGCCAGAATTTAACAGATGGATTTTGCAAACCAATTGAAACTTCACCATCTCTACTTCTCTTAAATATTTTTTTTTTTATAATTTTCCAGTATTCTAACAAATGAATTACAATTGAATAGCACAACGATCGGCATGTGATGGCAAGAAGAAAATAAAAATTGGATTAAAATGATAACCATTTTTAAAGACAACTTTTAATAATCGTTAAAACTCATCTGAGAGGTTAAAAATCCTATAGCCAACATGCATGAATGAATGTCTGACGTGTCAGGTCTATTTTTGCTGCATCTGTATCTTTATGAACTTCTGACAGGAGAGAAATGATAGCAGTACGTTGGCAGAAGATTCTGCAGAGCTCTGCTGGCTCTTATCAGATGTTCCCATTTCAGCACAGCTGGGTGGCTGTGGGCTGATGGAGAAACCAGCCAGTCTGTTTCTAGTGCCTTATTGCATTGAATTGTTCCTATAAAATGATGTCACCAAATCAACCCACAAAATCAGCGTCAGAACTACTGTAAATGCAAATGCTGCTCACGTAGAGGCGCAGCTCATTCCATAAACAAGTAGCTTAAAGATCTATTCAGATACAACCTCGCAGAGCTATCTGAGTCAGATGTTTTGAGTGTCGCACGTCACAGGAGGCTGGATGTCATACATAAGGCGAAGCGGGAGACCTCCTCTCTTCAGTCAGCCCACGTTAGACACAGCTGCAAAGACACAGCAGCTTCTATTAGAGCAGAGCAGAAGAGGGAGCTGAGTGTTGCTCACATTAAAAGGGATTTTCTGTTCAAGAAGGAGAGAAGGATTTATCTGCAAGAAGGCTTGGAATTTACTGGAAGCTCTGATTAAAATCATTTCTGCAAGAATTAGACAAGGTGAGTTCATTTTATGTGCCTTTTTCTCCCAATTTAACCACCAGGTTGTAGTGTTAAACTTTATTGCTTGGCTATGACACTAAACTGTACTGTTATTGTTAAAAGTAGAAAATAGAGAGATATTTAAACAATATGCATTGTCCTCATGCATTTTGCAGAAACTAATGAAGGTGGATTCAGAGTGTATCCCTCTCTTACATGTGTTATGGAAATTTAACACAGGATATCAGGGCTTTTTGTTGTGGTTGGGCGCCTTCCTGTTTCACAGATCGCTTCTCTTGCCACTCTTGCTGCACAGTCATAATGTAATAATTAGTGGGATGGGTAAAATTAAAAGGCTCCTGTATTTCCCGGCATGTCTGATTTAGTTTCTTTTCTCATGAATTTGCAAACCAGCAAGAACATGGGCACCTGCTTCACCAGATGCCATTCTCACCAGACTGTCCTCGAAAATCAGCCAGAATCTGTGATTCCAGGTAAGCTCTGGGCCAAAAAAAACATGCCTGATGCAAAGTGAATTTAAAGCAAAAATCAACACTAAACATCCCTGACCTGATCTCTGCAGGAGAACAGGAAAGTGTGATTGTCTCTCTGTACGACTACCCATCGTTAGAGCACACAGAACTGACAATGCGAATGGGAGAAAGACTTACCATTGTGTCAGAGTAAGTATACCTTCTGATATCTTTTCATCCCCATTAAGACTGAAGGACAAAAAAAAAAGATAAATATCTGTTCTTACATGTACAGTGATGGAGATTTTATGATGGTGAGATCTACAACCTCAGGCCGTGAGAGCTACATTCCTACCAACTACACGGCCAAAGTCATTGACAGGTGAGAGGCTTTAATTGTGGAAGGCTGCTTCAAATGTAATAAAAGGAGGGGAGTTCCATGAGAGGCGAGAGGAGTTTTCGTGTAGGTGACCTGTACCTCAGTGGAGACTGATCTCTGGAACAAGACATTTATTCTCTCCACTGACATGGGCAACCTCCAGCAGTTTCCCTCCCCCTCCTTAGAGATGAATCTGCACTGATGTTCCAGGGGTTTTCCATATCTCAAACCTCTAGCCAGATTGATTTTTTTTGTTCAACCTTGCTGAATATGTGGATAATCCTTTGCATTTTTTGCTGCAGGTGGCTGTACACAGGAATCAGCAGGTATAAAGCCGAAGAACTCCTTAAAAATTCCAGCAACCAGAGCGGCGCTTTCTTGATCCGAGAATCAGAGACAAACAGAGGTCAGTTTGTTTTGCTTTGTTTTTTAATTGAAATCTCTATGATTGGCTGTTTGATTTAACCATAAACTGTGCTGTGAAATAACTCAAATTAAAATATGCTTTAAAAATGGAAGCATACACAAAAAAAGTTAAAAAAATAAAATAGGAGAAATTAAGTAACGAAGAATATCGTACAGATATTAAAAATAATCTGATTCAAAGATATATGCATCTAGATCGGATCATTTAAAGAATAAACATGTACACGTATATATTTGTGCATACAAAATAACAGCAGGTTGTTTACAATAAATAAAAAAATTCTGTATGACGGAAGGGATGAAATACTTTCTCATTTTGCTCTGAAAAGATGTGGTTTCAAAATCTTACAGCTGCTGGGAGGAAGATTCTGTGATAATGCTGCTTTGCGCTTTTAGAGATAACAAAATTCCTACTCTAGTTTTTTTAATTCTGGGACACTCATGCTGAAACACGTTACAAACCATTCTTAGCGATCAATTACAACCAAGTTTCTGATCAGACTGAATGTTGAACAAACTAATATAAGGAGTGGCTGGATGAAATAACCTTGATCACTGAACTTAAAATGTAGGATTTTATTTAACTCAACAAAGAAAGTGATCAAACTAAAACAAAAATTTTTACATTTTAATATCTGACAAAACATTTATGGAAAAAAATTATGACATTTTTCAGATATATGTTTTAAAAAAGCAATAAGTGTGTAAAATTAATTTGAAAAGTCTTAAATCCAAAGCTGTGAGTTTTAACTGCTGCATCTGTGCTCTTTGAACATTTAGACAGCTATTCACTCTCCATCCTGCGAAGGACCGGTTCCTCGGACATAAATCCTGTGAAGCACTACCGCATCTCTCAGCTGGAAAACTCCTGGGTCTACATCTCTCCAGGACTCACATTCCCTTCCCTTCATTACCTGGTGGAACACTATTCAGGTTAGTACTGAGATCTTTTGTCATTATGAATGTAAGATTTGCTTAACCGACATCAGTGCAATTCCTCTTCCCTACAGAGGTTGCAGATGGACTGTGCTGCCGACTGACGGTGCCTTGCTTCATCCAAGGGTTGGATGACCCTCGACCAGTTCCCATCACTGTCAGAAGACCTACCATCAACTGGAGGGAAATTAGCAGGTTAGAGAAAGTACTGATGGTCGCCAGAATATGTCGCTCTCCAACTATTTTTATGTTTCCACTCTTTTTATTGTTGACATTGGCTCAGAGAGCGTTGATTCAGCCCCACACTAATGCAAGATTTAGAGCTGGGTAAACTGATGCAGAAGAGTGTGAAAACAAGATAAAAAGCCATACCACCAGATAAGGCTGTGGTTGCATTAACTAGATGCCATTTGTTTTGCACAACACAACATGTTCGGTCAAACGCCCTTTGCAGCAGATTCTGATGCTTGATACTGTAAACTTGAACTTCATTTGTTAGAAATAAGTTTACCGTTGTTTTGTTGTTGCTTCATTTCTGCAAAACGAAACCGATTCAGATCTCTAATCTATTGTCCGTTCTGTTCTATTGAAGGTCTGTGATCCTCAGGAGGAAGAGAACTGAGTCAGACAACTCTCTGGTGAGCGACGGGCTGAGGGAGGCCATTAGCTCCTATCTCCAGTTAACAGAGTGTAAAGATCACAGCTGGGACACATGAAGGAAAACGCGGGCGGTCGGTTTGAAAAAAATGAAGTCCAACAGAAAGAGTAGAGTGAAATACTACCCTGGGGCTGCTGCAGGTGAAGCAAACAGCGGAAGGAGCTGCTCTGCGTACCCAAATGCAGTTTTTGGAGGATTGTTCAGGAACAGATGAGAGGCTGAGACACTGCACTTCTCAGAGAACGCTCAAAAGGTTCTACGTCTCTATGGGTGATGGGTGACGCACAAAGACAGAGGATGTAACCTGCAAAGTGAAAGGCAAAGAGGCAATGAATGTTTCCCCTTATTTATGAAAACTCTTACCTAAAATGTTCTATTAACATGACAGCAATATGAATGTATGTGAATGTTTTCATGGTTTTCATGTTTTTTTTTGTGGAATCCAGTATGATCCATACGCTACTAATAAATCATTCACAGAAATAAATCAACATATATTTACAGGAATTTTGGGTGTAATGGATTTATTTGTTTTAAATTGAGATCTAATGAGGTATATGGGCTCTTGAGGTTTTCCTTCATCATCACTGTCCAGTTCAGAGTTATGTTACTCATTATATCTCAGCATATATACTCAGTAACTCAAGCAAACGACAAAAAAAGATTATTTAAAATAGAAATTTTAAAAGTGCATAGGAATTGGAAACCTTTAAAACCATATATCACTTCATATTAAAATACAGCAGTAAACATTAACTAGTACTCTTCTTTAGGACTTTCAAATCACTTTCTTGTGATATTGTTTGGGTTCCAGTGGTGGCTTCATCAGAACTGATTCTCTCCAGGAAAAGCCGGGGCCTCAAAAGGAAGATGGATGTAAAATCTCTCTTTTAATACATGACAGAAAGAAACAGAGCTAAAAAGACAAATAGCAGTAAACCATTCAACCTGAAAAAATACAATGTGGAGCTCAACCAGCTAGTGAGACAATATCAACCAAGGAATTTAAACCGGCTTTATTTAAATCTCTGTCAGGAAAATAATCATGAATCAATGACTTAGTTACTTAACAAAATTTTGAGTTTATGTTCCTAATTGAGACGTGGCTAGATGAAACTAGGGAGATGCTGATTTTATTGGAGATCACACCTCCAGATTACAATTTTCTCCATCAGAACAGACTGTTTACAAAAGGGGGCAAACTCATTACTCTGTTCAATGATTCACTAAAGTGCAGAAAAGTGATCCTGTGTGACTTTAAATCTTTTGAATATCTGGCTATCCAAGTACAAGGCCCTGTTCGAGGCATGTGAAGGTTTATAGGCCTCCAAAGTCCAAGACAACATTTTCTAATGATTTTAACAAACTTTTATCCATGATATATATTGAACATGACTACTTAATTATTGTTTGGGGACTTTAAGGAACATGTTGACAACCCTAAAGACAAAGGTACAAAAGAACTGTGTGATATTCTTAAAAGTTTTGGTTTGACTCAACATCTTAAACAGCACACACACACAATCAGTGACACATTTTGGACCAGGTCATCAGTAAAGGTCTAAATATTTCTAATTTTTCTGTAACTGATGTTGCTCTGTCTGGCCATTTTTCTTTCTTTCTCAGTGATCTAATTACCAAAGGAGTTGTTATATGAAATTTTGTTATCATTTTTAGTAAAATGAGTAACTTTACCCAGGCTTACTCTTCTGCTTCCACTTTACTCTTCATTCTCTGAGATTATCAACAAGAACTTCAACAATGATCATGCCTTATTTGCTACATTTGAAAGGTTAACAAACCCTCTTTTCTCTGTGGCCGATGAACTCCACATCTAAAAAGGCCTTAAATGACTTTGAAAAGTTTTTTTTACTGAGAAAGTAGAAGGTATTAGAAAAGCTTTCAGAATAAATTCTATTAAATGTCCCAATAGTGGCATATAAACTGCAAAAGCTTGGAAGAAACTGTTAGGCCGCTAAGCTCTTCTTCCTGGTGTCTTGATATTTTATCCACAGGTTTTATTAAGAAGGTTGTACCTGTTTTAGAGTCTGATTTGATTCAAATCATTAACACATTCCTTATGTTGGATGTTTTCCCTCAGGCCTTAAAGCAGCAATTATCAAACCATTGTTAAAAAAGAGAAAATTGGATAAATCGTCTTGTGGATCTACAGGCCCATCTCAAACCTCCCCTTCATCAGTACAGTTCTTTTAAAAATTTGCGGGGTTATTGGATGCTTTAATGTGTTTTTGTACTGCATCAGCAGTTGTACCTTTTTTTTTTTTTCACCTCTGATCGTTGTCTTTCGAGGTTGATATTTTCTTTCCAGCTGTACTATTTAGTGGTAATATTTATACATTTCTATTCATTTTTTGAATTTCTACATGTGTGACCTAATTCTGTTTGAAGCTTCCTTTGAATCGACGCTATGGGGTATTTTTTTGAAAAAAACAAAACAAAACAACAAACAAATCCAAACCTGTTTTAAATTCCATCTGGTACCAATGCAGGTAAATCTTCTTTTTTTTTTTTTTTTACAAAATTGTACATTTTGTAATATTCCAGTTTAAGAATAGCACATTTTTAAACCCCTTCTTATGTTAATATATCATTCACACAATAATGATTTAAAAATATTTGATCCAAGGAAAAAAAACAAAAAACATGTAATTTCTGCGATCAATAGAAAAAGTAATTATCCAGAAAATTCACAGATAGTGTTGTTCAATTTTAAACAGTTTCGGTCCTAACACTGCACAAATAGATTAATTCAAAATTTTATTTCTAAAAAACTAAAAATAAAACACAAGTACAAAAATCTATAGATATCAATATACTTTGCCTGCTGTGGATCAGCCAATTTACCAGAATTCTAAATGCTTGTTAATGGGGAGGATTTTTTTTTATTTTATTTTTATTTTTTCCATTTAAAATGTGTATACATTTTTTTATTTGTGCTTATTGCTTATTAATCTATGCAAAAGAGGTGCAATTGTCAGACTGATTTGGGATCTTCCTTCTAAACACCTCATCATCTATTATCACTGTTTTGTATAAGACTGAGATGAGAACTTTGTAATGGTCACACTAATATCCAGACTTTATTGTCTTTAATCCCATTTGTATCTAACTTGGTGACTTGCTTATAGTCCATATCATTTTGGATGACTTGCATGTCCCCAAACTTTAACTGTGTACCAGATATCTTGATATGGTACTTTACTGTGCACAATTAATATATTTCCTCTCATGATATAATCTATTTTGTGAAGTGCACCAGTTCCTTCTGCAGGGAAACACCTACACACCATGCTGCAACCCCCGTACTTCACAGCTGAACTAATGCTCTCAGGCTTGACTGTTTTCTGCCAGGTCTGGAATCTGTTCTTTGTTGTCTTTTTTTTCCTTTGATTCTTTAGTGGTAAGGGCCTCCTGACCCAATTATATTTAAGATCCAAAAAAACATCCACAGGTGTGTTCAAGATTGTTATAGAATTAGTTAATTAACTTATGAAGAGCTTATTAAACTATGACATTAACATTTGTGTTTTTCAATTTATTTGATAAAATAGTGTTCTTATTGTATATGACCTTCTATATTGGATGAAAATAGATTAAAATAATCTTCCTACCCTTATCTACATTAAGTCTGTACTATTGTATCGGCTATTTACTCACCCTAAATGTGTAAATCTTTAAGTGGGGACTCTAAGATTACTTTTTAAATTGTTGATACTCATTTCTCTTCTTTTAAAAAGCAAGTGGTTATCTTGTACGAATTGTGTTATACGAATAAACCACCTTGTCTTATTTTATGTTTCAAGACTTGAAAAAGTTGTACTGTTTACTAAGTTAACATGACTGATTTAACGAAATAACTGATTAAAAACCTGCTCTGCCCATGATCTACCACAAGATGGCGCGTCGTTTCCCTTTTTTTTTTTTTCTTCTTTTTATTAAAGCCTTCCACTTCCTGCCCAAACAGTCCGGTTCAGGAAGAAGAAATAATGGCGACGCTTCTAGGGTCTGAGTTCTCTAGTAGTGGAAGAAAAAGAAGAAATTGTAATAGCAACATAGTCACAAAGTTAACGTCCAGTAAAATAACTGGCAAAGGTTTTAGCCGAGGAACACAGGTAAGAGAAATGTGCCCTGTATTGACAGCGGATGCATCCGAAATGTAAACCAGTGAGTCCGGGGACTTGCGCATGGATCCAAACCTAGAAAATGAAGACGTTATCCCGGAGAGCTAGCTAAGGAGCTTTTATCTCCATCTTTATCAGTTAGACACAGCATTACATCGTGTTTGAACCCAAAAATGATATATTTCAATATGCGAACATGCGTTTATATTGCCGAGTGGATAACGTTAATGTTAAAACCTCCACATAAAGTGCATCTTTTGTTGTTAGCACCACATTAGCTTAGCATTTACAGCGAAGTTAAAGCTATGTGATCTGATAAGTTATGCTAATAATAATATTATCTTTATCAACCTCTAGGACGTTAATTATACTGAGAATCTTAATGATTCGTTGTTAAGATGTTTCTAACTTTTAACGAAGGGCAGGTGGTTTTGGTATTGTTAGCGAACGAGCTAACTGAAGCTAGTTAGCCAGGGTAGTTCCAGCCGCTTAGGCTGTTACGTAACGACGCACCGACTACAACAAATCCCGTATACATAATTTTTGAGCGATAAAGAGCTTTCTGTGCATGACTATACGTTAAATTTGGTTTCCACTCGTAGAAAAAAACAAAAAATGTATAATCTAGGGTTCATGTTTTCAGCTGGCTAGCATGCTGGTGAAGATTCTCAGTCATCCAGGTCATAGTTATTCCAAAAAAGTAAAAAAACAAAACAAAAAAACAGCAGGGGTGTGAAGAAAGGTGCAGTGGTGGCCTATTAGTAAGAGCAACGAGCTTGGAATCCTGAGGTACTGAGTTCGAGTCCCACTCTCACAGACTGCAAGACCCTATACCCCACTATGGCAGCCCCAAGAGGATGGGTTAAATGCAGGAATAAACTTCCTCAATTTGAGATCAATAAAGTTCAGTTATTAAAAACACAAATGGCTTCCTTCACACATCTGGGGAGTGAAGAAAGCCATTTATGTTTATATTTTCTCAGTTAATGCTCCCTAGCCTCCATTTTTCATTGACTGTTGGTAACAAGCATTTGCTGTTGGGTTGATGATGGGGTTAAACTACCCAACTGTGTCTAAATTTAAGTTTGAATCTACATATTTTATTTCAACGTCACTGGTATTGGATACAGACACAAATTTAAAACTCACAGTCCTTGCTTCCTCCATTACCAACAAAATTGGGGAGGAATAGATGTGTATGTTCTGAACTTCAGAGCTCTATTGACCTTTCGGTCTACTTAATATTACCGCCTCTGGCAATTGGCATGATTTTCTTTCATATTATTGTTTAATGGTGCTTTATTTGACCTTTTGCAAGACAAAAAGTGTTTCCCTCATATGCTATAGATTTATCATAATTTTAATGCCAATATGAACAT